TTTGGGTTCTTTCATCACATTATTTAAAATTTGCCCCAGAGCTATTTCGAAATAAAATATAATTACAATGTCAAGTGCAATAAGAAGGGAAGTTTGAGTTTCGTAATTAAAATTCGAAACAGCAGAGTTTTAGCGTCAAATGGCATGGTATTATTACTTAAAACTAGTGACTAGATGAGAATGTTAAAAGTAATCTAAGCGATATGTGACGTAAACGTTTTTAAGCATAGCACAATAAACATTAAAATGATGTACATAAGACTTATAATTATATCTAAGTAGCTAAATCACAACACTGCACAATTAAAAAAAATGTTTACGTATGGAATGTGTTAATGCTATCAACCTAATGAGAAAAAAAAATGTATGAGTATTTAAAAATAGGACCGTTCAAACCGAGCAGAAGTCGTTAAGTGTGTATTAATGACAGAATACTTAATTATATAGCGAGGAAGGGTGTGGTAATGAAGATGGGTTTTATAGTACACACAGCAAACGAAATACCTGATCAGTAGTATGAAGTACTTGGAATTTTAATGAACTCGAAATGATAACGATAACGCAGAAAGGTTTTAAGAAACTTATAATTTTGCAAATGTATTAGTGAAGAAATGAGGTTCTCGTGGCTTAGTAAAAATTGAGTAGGTTAACACATTGCAATGTTTAGAAATCATATTTAGATCGGTCTATGGATGGGTGACCATTCTTAGACTGACCCAAATATGATTCCGTCGATACCGGTTGCCGTTCCGACTTATAAAAATATCTGAAAAGATTTACTTGCAGAAATAAATTTAATTTCATTTGCCATGCAAACATCTGTAGTAATCGTTACGAGTAGTTGGGAGTCCTAAAAAGTCTGACAACAGTTTCTACAGAACTTCGATATCGCCTATTACTTGGGTTGCAGAGGTCTGATGTCAGTCATTCCGCATAAAAAATCGAAGTTCACGAGTTATTTACAAGGTTTGTAAACGTAAAATAATATACTTACCAGAATAACACACATGTAGCCTACTCATATACCCGATCAGATATTTTGTTTGCTGTGTATACATCATATAAACAGGAAATGTTAATGGTGTAGTATATACACCTTTCCTTAAAATAATTTGTAACTTAGTGTTATAAAACTTTGGAGGGAAAGATTTACCCGAAAAGTTTTTGGTCTTGGTTCATTTAATTGAGGTAAAGATATCCATACTTACGTATTAAAATGCAGCTCAAAATATCTAGAGAATAATTGTTATATCTAAAATTACAATATCTAATAGTATTTAAGGTACGCAGTAAGCACATTAACTATTTTAGAACATACGCTTTTCTGTAAGAATGTATATTGTTCCGAAGTCTTACTATTTACAGTTCTTCTTATGACTAAAAAAATAAGAACTATTAATAATAGTACAAAAGTTTTTAAACTGAAAATCTTAACGATCATTTTAATATATATATTAAAATGATCGTTAAGATTATAGATATATTTATAATTTTAGCATTCTCTAAAAGCTTTAGCGTTTTTAAAACTGCTTTAATTTAAAAGAGAAATAACAAAACAGATTGCGACTAGTTAAATGAAAAACATAACTTAATTTAACAAATAAAAGCAAGGAAAATTTAAAGACAACAGAGCAATTTATTTCATAAAGCGCAAAAAATATCCAAAGATATTTAAACCGTTAAATAAATATTAGAGACTGGTAACTAAAAAAACATCTCTACGTATATTACATTCAGTTATTCTAGTTATTTCTGAATAAAATATTATTTTCTAAAACTGAGTAACATTTATATTCTTAGAAGCAAAACACATTTGCCTTAACTTATTATATCTACAGCGCGTTATTTCTATGTAAGTCGTAATTATCCCAGGTTCAACTATATATACATAGTTCTTATGTATTACATAGTAAAGCTTCACACAAATCACTATAAATTATTACACTTATAGAAAAATGTGTTCATACGAACACGCCAAGAGTAACATCAATTATATTTACGTGATTTATAAATTAAACTCCTCTGGGATCTGAGCGATTTTGATCTTGTCTTCTATCTCCTTTTAGCCAAACTTTATCCTATCTCTCGAGTTTTCTGAAATTGCTGTTTCTAATAAAACACGTAGGTACATACTACTAAAGCCATGTACATTATCTTCATTCAACTTATTTTTAAATAGTTTTTGGTATACCACAGCTTACTCATAACATTTAGCTTTTTAATAAATCTGCTTTTGCTGTATTACTTAAGCTGTGAAAAGTCTGTGAATAACACAGAATGACGCATACGAATAATTCTATTATCAGTTCAATATAATATTAACTCTGAATCGCCAATAGATGACTTTTAGATATCTTTAAACAAACCAGTAATTTAACTTGCTCTAAAAGCACATCAATTTAAAAGCAGTTTAAGTATTAACAATTACAGTGACTATAAAATCCTTATTCTCTAATTACGTAAAAGGAAAAAAATCTTAAACAAGAATCAAGAACTTTGAAGTGATATTTTTTAAATGAAACATTTTTGATGAACAAAGTTTTCGAATGAACGTTTCACAAAGCAATTAAAAGATAAGTATTTACAACGTCAACGGTTTGTTTAAATTTAAAATTTGTTTTTCTGCTTACATTTAGACCTAAGTTGGTCCACTGGATTCCTCACTGTCAATTTCACCAGGTTTTGTTTGTCCGATTTTGAAATCCTTCAGAGCATCTTGTATATGTTTTACCTGACAAAGGAAATCACATTATCAAACTTTTCCACTTACAAAACTTTCAGCAAGGTTGGAATTTAATTTTTGCCATGATACCGGTGAGTGAAAACACCCAATACATTTCTTACCCTATCAAATATTCACAATATATCATAGACTTCATCCAATATGTACACAAAGTGTGAAGTTTGGAGTTTCGTTACAGAACTGGAATATATTTGTGGAACTGACTTGTCAACAGAGAATCTTAACTACACAAAAAAAAAGAATTTAAAAATTAAGTTAACCTCAGTAATTTAGAAAACTGGTTACTCGAGGTAAAGGACTGTAAAATCAAATTGTTTTAGTTTATTTATTAATTAATTATTCAGGTTTTTTTTGGTTTCTATAAAATTGTGTACTTTAAGAAATAATCTTATTATTTTTTTTTTTATTGAAACATTCAATTTATGAGAGATTTAAACTGTGTCAATTTTTCCACAACTTAATACAAAACTGAATGTTTACCCAAACTGTTACGATGTCCACTTGAAATGAAAAACTCACCTGAGATGCCGAGGGATCTGTACCCGGGTGCGCGTACTTGTGAAGAAAATAACACGTCCCCGGAATGTCCTTGGGGAATGAATTTGGTAGACAAGACCGATCCCGAGGTTCCATCTCAAAACCCGGGAATTTTATTAGCCACCTAAGCAAAAAAGTTGGGTTTACAATATGTCGTCTTTTTCTTACCGAAGTAATTTACTGTTTTTGTGAATAGTTTCGCTTAGCTACTACAAGTAAATTTCTTTTGGTCGCTCAGTTGGTTTAAGACATTCTATATAATAAACTTAATACTCTCTTAATCTTTTTCATATTTTACTTTTCTATTCATTTTACGCTCTCCTACGGTTTAATACTCTAAAAATGATTAAATGTGTGATTTAGTCTGAATATGTGGGTAATTTCTAGACAACATTTTATAAAAATATCTTTATGATTAAGGTATTTCAAAAATGAAACTGTAGTATTTTTTGGGTAAACAAAGAATATAACACACGAGTATATATAAACATACGAGTATTATCTCATTTTCCTCAAGCGTCCTACGGTGATATCAATTACCATTAACAAAATCCATGTTCAGAGAAAGAAAAGATAAAACATCATCAAATGTTTATTTAATACATAACCGAGGGATTTAAAACCCTATTCTGAATTACCAAGGACTAATGTATCAAATTACGTAGAAACTAAGGACTCTTAATGTTAATATGATTACGCAGTCCCCTTACATAACTAATATCAAGTCATTAAGGAATAGTATGGAAAAATGCAATACAAACCCCAAGATACCAATGGCCCAAAGATCTATTTACGTATTTCTGCATTCAATAGTAGGTAAGACTGAGACTGAAGTTATTTAAGAAGCCCTTTTGTGTATTTATATTTGATTATTGAAAGAAAAGCATTCAATACAGGTTTTATATCACCTATACTAAAACGTTCTTAGGTTATCTTTACGGACTGTTTTTTTTATTGATAAAAATCACTTCATGCTGTGGTCGACCATTTCATGAAAATTTAATAACTATTAACCTAAATCAATGAACAATTAGCAGTTAAGGATGTGACGACAGCGATATTTCCGTTCGATATTTACGTTGTCCACACTATCCCTTCATCATCGAGATGTCGCCTGAGGAGTTAATGCTGTATGCATATTACATTAATCAATATACGTCCTTGTTTATCAAAAGTTATCCGACTACTGTCGATGGACATGGAACTCAAGAGAATTGACTTTAGAGATATTCTGCGTTTGTGGTGACGACAGGTGAAGTCGCGTGTAAAGTTGCTGCACTTAAATACATATGTAAATTGAGATAAGTGACAAGTCAAATGTCTTCTAGCGACAACAACGCACTAAATCTCTATTAATGACTTAATTTTGTTTTGCAGAAATGACACACAAAAACTTACTTATTTCATTCTGATATAAGTATTTTGTACCAAGTCAGACATTCAAATATCACCTGATTACTATGACACTTGGCCATTTCACCACTTCTATATTATCACACTTTTGTAATTAAATTAAATTTTCATAATTAATAGATTATAATAATCTGAGTATTATGATATTATGTATAAACGTTGACCAAACTATTTTATAGATGTTTGTATACATAAAGAATTTATCTGTTTTAAGATCTATAAATATCCGTTTTCTTAAATTAATGGAAGGACAAATCAATTATTAGCCACATGTTTGTACAAAATATTCTCAGATTATTGTATTTACTTACTCGTATGTAGTAGGACTGACGTTGATCTTCAATGGTTCAGATCCAGACTCAAACTTGTTAGCGAGCGTAACATTATGTCCAAACAGACAGTACTTCAGCATCGTTTTACCGACGACACCGGCGAGTACGGTACCCGTATGTAGGCCAATGCGCATCTAAGAATATAACACAACTATTAATTTTTATTTAAAATAATTTGTTAGATGGTCCATAATATAATTATTTGAGAAATATCAACCCATAAAGGGTCTTCCTGTAAATTAATTATTTAACCACCTTATGCGGCATGTCAATGAATATACATATGTTTTTGTAACTTGTAATTTGTGTTTTGAGATGGGAAAAAAACATTGAACTCGGGACACTGTTACCGTCACCGACACCTGTGTATATAAGTATATACATATTTTGACCCCGTTTACACGAGAGTTGAGTTTGGGTTGAAATACATTGAAAATATAACTATATATAATATAAACATGTATAGCCTATATACGTACAACTTTTTTTTAAATATAAATGTCGAAACTTTCCGAATCGAAAAAAACAAAAAATCTCTGTTACAATCAAAAAATTTTAAGTTTTCACTTCTGTCGGCACTCCCGGAGTGCCACTGTTTTCTTTGGCTTATTTTTTTGTTTATAGTATAGGGGGGGGCAAAGGAGCACACGGGTCACCTGATGGTAAGTGACTACCGCTGCTCATGAACACCTGCAACTCAGTAGTTAAAAGCACATTGCCTCCCTTTCAATCCCTTCCCTCGGAATGAGGAATAGGGCGAAGTTATGGCTCTCTCACTCGGTGAAAAGCACCGGCAGAACTGATTAACACTAGTTTACTGTAAGACCGCGGCACTCCAGTTGAACCTAGCCCAAATGTACCGAAGTATGACTCTGCCACGATAATGCAATTACGCAAATCCTAGACTCAATTTCTGCATTTTTAAGGTGTTACCTCTACTGAATACTACTGAACGTTAACTAATGCAACCTATAAATAAAAAATATAATCTTCAAATGATAGGTCAAAGTAGACGTTTGAATAAATTATTAGACATGAATATTTACTACTCAATTGGTCGAACATTATCGTCATTATATTCAAAGTATTTGGATATAGAACGTCGTAATTCTAAGAAGGTATTGAAATTGTTGAATATACTAAAACTACAATTTGATATAAAACAATTTCACATAGTTTATTTCTGTCAAATGCTTTGACTAAACTAATATTTTTGTTGTATTAAATTACGTTAAGTAAAATATATGGATGGAGTAATACCTTTATGGGATTCCCCTCGTGTGTGAGATGTTGCGCACAGGTTTCGACCATGCGCAAGGCCATCCATGCAATTTGCGGTGCGTGAGTATCAATTTTGCGATGTAACCCACTTGCTACACAGTATGCATCGCCAATTGTCTCCACCTAAGTAACAATACACATGTTCTCTGCAATAAGTGATAAAATTTTTCGTATTCAAGGACGTTGAAAAAAATCGACAGTTCCTGATCTCATTCCTAAAATTTCCTGCAACTGATTTCGTAAAAAAAACTTATTTGTATTTAAATACTGCTACCATCATACAAAAACATAGCCTGGCTTTTCCTCTAAATCACGAATGTAAGGTGACTAGCATTAAATACAGTACGTGCCAACACTTTCCCGTAATTTAATCAATCTGTCTATTTTTTAAGGTTCGTGTCTTTTCATAATCTATGTAACACAAGATCTTTATTAATTATTATTTTACTTCTCTTCATAAAAGATATAACGTGAATGTAATAAATATAGTTGAGCCCTTGACGATCACATCCTAGCAATCATAGTACAAGTATCATATTAAGTAGGGAATTTAATAGATGCGAACAAATGTCAGTTTAGATAATTAGTTTAGTTTGAAAGAAAATATTATTTGCAAGTTACAAAAAATTAGAGTCTAAATTTTTTTTTCAGTGAACCTTAGATGAGCTTTCATAGTTATACGCTTAAAAACAAATAAATGTGAAATTGAGTAAATAAAGTTATTAATTAACAACAATTATTTAAAAAAATAGGACATGCTAAACAATTGTTTAAAACAAAATAAAAAGAGCCTTGTTATAAAATATCTTATATCTCATTAAGATTAAAATATTTCATTCCTAAACAGTGACTTTTATTTAAATTCTTTGTAAATTTAATTAAAATGTGGAAAGGTGGAATCTGCAAACTGAAATGTATATATTTTTTTAATGTCAAATAATCACGTACTTATAAAAAACAAGAAAAAAATGTATGTGTGAAAGAAAAGAAAAACTATTAATCTACGAAGGAGATTATGATATTATCTGTTTCAATAAATAATAATAAAAAATACCTTACACATCTCACACACGGCCATCTGATCCTAAACTAGGCAAAGCCTGTGCTATGGTAACCAGACTGCTGATAAACATACTTATGCTGATAAATGAACAGTAAACTAAAAACTTTACCTTGTAAACATCAAGCTCCTCGCAGAAAATATCGAAGACACTGTATAGGTCTTCAAGCATAGCGATGACCATCATTGGCGTGGCGGTAGCGCATATGGATGTGAACCCAACGATATCACTGAATAACATCGTTACGTCATCGTGGCTTTTCGCTTCGATCTTCTCACCTAAATTTATAAAGAATGTTTTTTATAGGTTAAGATATTTAAGTCTTAAATTTACATAATATAGTACGCATATTTAAATGCGAGATAATTTGTATAAATTATTTTGAGAAAAAGAAAGAAGGACAAATAACTTCAGCCATTGAAATCAATGTCAATCGAAAAATATGTATTTAAAAAATCAATGTCCAAAGTTCTACTAATATTATTTTATCAGAAATGTGATAAATATATTTTACTGTTTTTAGTTATTTTATTACATTTACATAAATACGAATACATTTTCTTATCTTCGAGGCAAGGAGTAGGTATTTATATAATGTTGTGCTCTGCCGTTGAAACTTCGACTCATTGAGGTGATTGGCAAAATTCCAAGCTACGACCTGAATACAAAGGACAAACACGAGCTTCATCAGTCTCCATAAATTTTGAAACAAACCTTTTTCATTATGTAAAACCTGACTTATTCACCAGAAAAATTAACTAAATGCCTATTGTGAATATATAAACACATATAACTGGGTCTCTTTCATCTTTAATTCCTAAACCTAATTATAAAAGTTCGGTTAACATAATGTAAGTAAGTTAAGCTCTTGCGGTTACGTGGTTAAACATAATAATGAATGTTAGATGTACGAGAATTATTGTATACACCTAAGTTTACACCCATCTGTGACTTAGAAGGGTGGAACGACATGAAAGCGGAATTCACTGAGTGGCATTTGAATACATGACGTAACGTGTATCAGGTTTGCAATCTCAGAATTTTTGGGTATGAATCATTTTGACTATTTGTAAGAACTTTTTTTGACGTCTGTTAAAAAAGAATTATGATGTCTAATATTACCATCTTAAACTGCGAAGCTTAGACTGGGTAATTACAGTAAAAATTATGTATAGCCTATTCCGAGACCTTTTCCTAGCCTATAAAACTGCAGTTGACGATATTTTTGAGTTAAGGCAATAAGATTTGTCACCATCAGCAATCTGTTTCTCTATTATTGACTAAAAAAATTAACGCTTGATTTGCCTTCTAAACAAATAAACACGTCTTGCCAGCTTTATAAGATTACCATGGTAATAAAATAAAACCAGCTAAGTGAAAGTTGGTAATATTGTTATTATTATTTCTTATGATAGCGCCCGTCATCGCAGACATTCTGTGAAAATGTCAAGTGGCTAGCTATTACGACCGTAATAAGACGTATAAATTTCGTTGGCTTAGTAAGTGGTTCATTTTGGATACTGAACATCAAAAGGATTAGAAATTATCACATATTTTAAAAACTGTTGTCAATTATAAGCAGCAAATTTCACTGTGTCTACTTCTGGAGGAAATATAAAAATGTATAAGGCGTTTTTGTATTATATTATTTCCAAAATTTAACTAACTAGTAACATGATATAGATGCTTTAAAGACTAGTTGAAATCAAGGTACGAATGTCGATTGCCTAGTTCTTGATTGTAAATCAACAAACAATCAAATAATGCCTACATAATCTACCAACAACATAAACAAAATAAATAAATCATGAAGACTAATGATCTCATGACAATATGTGAATTAAAAAAAAGAATACATTTTGTTTCAATATTTTTTTCCCATAATTGGTTTACTTGGTACTAACAACCAGGTAAATAAAATATACATAAAATACACACGAATATCTACAATATTTACACAATTAACGTTTAACGTGGTATTTCGTGTATTTATACTACACGGTATAAGTAAGTGGCACGTTGAAGGCGATTATAATAATGACTTTTGTTTGAAGGTATGACCTATTTAATGCAAACTCATTTATCTAAAGGTATAATCTAAATTTTATTACAGTTTGTAACGTAAAATTTCTGAAGCGAATATTTATAACAAGGTGGAAAGTCATTTCAAGGATACAGTACGATTTATTATTCTTAAAATTAATGTTTCTAGTGCCTAGTTAAATAGGTAGAATTGTTGTGTCCCTATAGCTTAAAAGAATGATTCATCTACCGAACTGTTTATATTAGAAAAGTGAAATATATACTAATGCTTACAGCGACTTTTATTCCTCGATATAGGATTAAGACTTGCCATGGAGTTCGGTGTGTCTTCGCTAGATGTCGCAAATGGCTTTTATCCTACGACGTAAAGAATTTAAAGGAATGCAAACAACATTCTTTTTGACATAAATTATGGTGAACATATCATTAACAAGCAAAGTTGCATAAAATGTTGCTTTTTATTTGTTTCCAAATCACCCTCAGAGAGAATCGTATACTGAGATTCGGATATGGGTTTAGTATCATACATCTTATCATCATGCGTGCATTTGCTACGCTTCTGCTTACCCTTTCTTAGATATAGTCAGTACATCTTATCAATAAAGTAGCTTCTAAATACTGACTGTCTATTCTTGTCAGGTTGATGTTTACCTTTACAGGTGTAGAAATTAAATATTCACAACTCAATTTACAAACCGTAGTTTCAAACTTCTAAGCATATTGCGTACTTAAATTAAACTATACATAAATCAATTCGTCACGTAATTGACTTAGAAACTTACCTAACCACAGCCTCTTGGCGATGTGAGGAGGGAATATTAAGTGGAGCAAGCTAACGTTCTTCTGCCGCTCTTTGTCAACGGCTTTGCTCGCTTCTTCTATTGAGTTCTTTAGTTTGTCCATGCGTCTTCGGAGACCATCCTAGTGACATAAATATGGGTTATAAAATAATGCATAGATGCCTCGCAAATCGAATACCAGTAAAGTTTCAGAAACGATTTTACTCGATTGTTTGAGTATAAATACATTAACAATTCTATAGTGTACTGTGATAATGTCAGATTTGATTTAAGTTCTGTATTTATATGGAAGATTTATTTTTATTTATTTATGCTTGTCTGGCTTTATGGAGAGCCATGCTTCCACACAAATGAGCCGGGTGGTCCAGAGTAATAACAGAATACCGGTGATAAGCAACTTTTTCTATTGAAATTTACTTTGAAAATTCACTCAATTCAATTGGATGAAACAATTATTCCCAATTTTTTTTTTGTTCGCTTGGTGAATATCCTTATGGATGCCCATCGCCCATTAGGGGTAGCGAAGGAGTCTGTCGGACTCTTACCGACTAAAAATAACCCCAATATTCCTCTTCCCAATCCTTGTCTGATGTTATAAAATACAAACAACTTTTTTTTTTAAATTACACCTGAATAAAAATAACTTTACATAGTTTTTTTTAAAGAAAGAGTTATATATAAGATTAAAAAAATTACAACAGCTCATCGGGGCATCTAATTAAATGGATAGCAAATTACAAAAATCATTATTGCTATTATATCTGCCAAAACAGTAAACAGTTTAATACATGTGTAGATACAGATTGAATTGGTCTCCGTAGATATATCCAATAAACGCCTGCCCTGATTGCCAAGTGTGTTGATTATTGTTGCCAAGATCGTTCCAACTAACTGCCAATATTGCGTGCTCCTATAATGCAATAGCACACATTTGATTTTATGTGGTAATGTAATAGTTTTCGGGAACATTGTCTGTAAGTTTTTATACAGATAAATCCAACTATAAGTTGTCGTTAAACCTTTAAGCCAACAAGGCTTAGATTCTAAATACAATGCATCTTGTTTGAAATTTGTTAGAATATTAAACTAAAAAAAGGACTGCAGACAGCCTTTTTTTAGTTTAATATAACGGTCACAAAAAATACTGCAAATGGTGTGACGTGTCAGCACTAGTGGCCAATTCGATTGCCAATTAAGTTAGCTCAATTTTCAGCTTAATTCGGGTCGTCTACTATTACATTAAAATTAAGCACCCTCAAGAATCACTTTATTCAAAACTAGAAATTTAATTTAGTAAGTTCTTCAAAGTGAAAAACAAAGCAAAGATAACAACAGAGTAAGCCCATGTATGTTGTATCTCACTGCGACATAGTTGGCTCACATCCAAAAGGAAATTGTAATACAGGTTTTTGTGCCAGTCGCCAGAAACTTGGGACCTTGGAGGCATGCACTGTCATCCCATTCTTATGCATATTTTTCTTGTACAGTACTTCTACACAAGTACATAAAATGTAATCTTTAACGTTCAAACTTCAGAAATTAATACAGTTACAGTAAACTTGGAAGAAATGTCAGATATTCTACGGTCACTAAGCAAATATCACATGATTCTTTTAAACAGCCATTTAAGTTGTTATAGAATGGAACGCGAAAGTATAACCATATTACTACCATTACGCATTAACATCAATGTTCAAAATAAACATTCCATAACTTTAATATACCTGAGCTCTGGCTTGTTCACCGACCAAGATGACATCTCTTGTCGCGTCATGAAGAGGAATGTCAGATATGAATAGCCCTCTCCCAGTGAGACCTTCAAGTCCATCGAGGAAAGGAGACCCGACGAACAATAGGGAGTCAGACTCTGAGCAGAACACCATCTGGCCTTTGATCTCCAAACCCTGATACAAAGAAAAAACGTTTTTTGAATACGAGAAACTATGTTATTGTTAACAACATAATAAACACAGTCACTAAAATTTACACAATTTTTTGAAGTGGAAACTTCTTGAAACGCGTTGGGCATTTTTGATCAACAAAGAAAAGAATGTATTTGTTGTGTTGAAAAGAAAATAATGTATTTAGATAAAAAGTTTCTTGACTGATATTAATATTTATTAAAGAAACCCGACTATTTTTGTACCCGACGTACGTATATTGCCGTCGTCGGCACTCTTAAGGCATGTCACTTCACTGTTTGAAAAAGGATCCCCGTAGTTTGCGCGTGAGTAAAACCGTTAATTTTTCATAAATATCAGAACTGGCCGTCAACATTTAACCGTCTTATTCATGTCTATAAACCTACATATAATATGAAGTATTGATATCAGACAAATACTTTTGTTTAAATGCTAAACTTGAAATACTTTCAAAAACTCAAAGAACTTACTATAAATATAAAAAACTTACTTTGGACTCTTTTTTAATACGTTACCTCACTATTCGTTGAACGCTAAAACTTTACATGTGTAGATATAAATAAAGCACAAATTTGTTTGTGGTTTTCAAGTAAGAAGAGATAAGGCTATAAGAGGTAAGGCTTTAGCTCCTTTTAAAGTGCAAAGACGACTTGAAGGTTTGTTGTTTTGCTGTTGTTTTGCAATATTTTTTCGAAGTATGCAAAGAGTTAGAATACCATAAATCTTTTTATTGAGTAAAACTGTAAGCAGTTTTGTATTCATTGCACTTAGAAAAACATTACATGATCATGGGATTTCAGTAGAGAAAGGCAAAGAAAGGTAGCTTTTTATAATACTAAGGTTACGGTGACCTGCTTGCGGAACGTCGTCATCCCGTTTCACCCGGTCTTTGATATAGCCTTAAGAAAACCAGCACTCCAAACTATTTAATTTAATTTATGGCTTTAGATATATTTCTATTTTACTTTTAACCAATACCGTAATGATATTAACTTATTAAGTCATTGAAGTCGTTGTAAGTTTTGTTTATTATTTGTCTTCTATTTATTTATTTAATCTTCTTTCTCGATCTGAGTTTGAATATTTAAAATTGTAATTAAGTATTCTGTCACATTGCTACTTTTAATATTCTTACTAAATATTAAAAATCCCTCCAACACCATTTACATGATATCTTTCACCATCAGACTGTATTATAATTTAATGCCCAACAAACAATATAATTAAAACTTTTTAAACCATTTTGCAAAACAATGATTCAAAGGCTGTTTGCCTTTCTGAGCACGTTGTTTCACAAGCCAGGGGTTTGTTTTAAAGTTCAAAGGATGTGGTTCATTTATCTTATTTAATACGGCGGGGATGTTACTTGAGTAGAAATGATTTATAATTTTAAAACACTTGTGTTAAAACTGGTTTATAAATTTTATTAAGGTCAGTTACTTATCCAAATTCTACGTATAACAGATCTAGTCATTGTATGACAATTTAATTCTAGTTTCATAGCTATAATTTCGTAGTTGATCGGTTTTATACATTTGCGAGTAAATGTTCATGACATTCAACACTATGGGTTCTTAAGACACCTTAAAATCTAAAATCATCGCTCGTTACAATATCGCAAAGTGAACATGTAAACCTAAAACTCAATTTGCACATTTTGGACGATTTTGTTGTCGTCATCGGTAATCCATCGATTTCATAGTTTAGAAGAAAATAAGTCTTTTTATTTATCCTTAGGCATCGGAAGAGACGGGGACAGTACCTACTAATACCTACCACATACGAGTACTTTACCTGCATCGATCAATCGGTCGACCGATAGAGAATTCTTTGGCATGAAATCCACCGTTGCATAAGTATGTATCAAGTTAAAAAATAAATAAATAATAGTAAAATAGATATTATGATAGAATCTTCCATTGCAACGAATTTTATGAAGTGAAGCAATCTTAAGTTTATAGTGTTCTAATTCGTAATTTATTCAATAAAGTTATCAAGTTTTACTAACATAAAACGATATAAATGCTCTGAATTCAGTTTCCTTGCTCATGTACCTATGTGTATAAGCGGGAGCACAATTGCTACACAGTTTGAATGTGACTTGGATAAGTCATGTTTCACAAGAGACGGCACGTTTGTTAAACATTCATAACCGCACAGCACCAAACACGTCCCATAATCCTAGGCACGACTTTCACGCTGTTTATTGTGTTCCTCTTCTCCGGTGTCGATTTTGTTCGTGTTGTTTGAAAAAAATTTTGACATCATGGAAAGAAAATAATAAAGTAAGATAAATTTAGCTTTTTGTTTTATTTTTGTTTCTAGTGTGTGTATATTATTATTATCATCCTCTACAGCCTATAATAGTCCAGTGCTGGACATAGGCAAAGACTTCCTAAAAAATATTTATTCATTTTTATTTCATTGTTTTACAATGTTTTATGTATACTTTCTGGAGCGTTAAAATATCTGTCATAATTGTAGTACATTTTATGCGTAACTATTTAATGCCAGAAGGTGTATTACCAGAGAATATGATTATATATTTGTTTCTTATAGAGAGAAATTGCTTTGAAGTTGCTTTTGCAGATTGACATCTGAAACTATGTAAGGAAGGAAGATAGAGCTAGTTGGAAAATCTTGAGTATGATACCATGTTATCGTACTATTACGGGTTAGCTAAAAAATTAAAATAAAAGCTTTTGTGAGTAGTATTAATTGCTGATAACGGTGCACCGCCTGAGTTCGACCTTCGAATTCAGCTCTTGATAAAGGTCCCCTAGTCGGGAAAACCCCAAATAAAAATAAATAAAATTGTTTAAAACCAAATCACATAAGAAAAGTAGGTAGGTAACCATTAAATAAAGAAAGTCATATACTTTCACATTTTAAATCCTTCGGTATAACCGCATTTATAACACAAATATATACGGATGCTTTAAAGCACTTAATCGTTGAACATGCACTTACACCTGAATATGTGATACGTCTCCATCTGGTCAATGAACACTAGTTTTGAGCACTATGTGCCTACCTACTACAGCTGTACTACTTACCAATACAAGAGTTTACAAGACAACACCTACACGGCGTTAGCCTCATCAGAACTCAATTAGCATGGATATATGTTGCTCCTCAATGGCAATACTTTTACATTTTTGAAGTGGTTTGTTAACCACTACAGTTACGTTAAATCTATTAAGATTAATGGGTGGGTGTGACCCCGAAACTATTTGATGAAAGTCTGGCCTTAGCCAATTTATTACTATGGCCTAAAACTTAATAAAATTACAAGCTCCAGTGAGAAATAACTTGAAGAAAAATTAATTCATCAAGCACACAATTTTATTTCTAAGAGTATTAGTTTTCTGTCTTGATTTGGTAAACTCAATTTATTTTAACATCCCCAGAGAATCCTTAAACTTAAATTGTCTTGCATCTCGATAAATCTTTATAATTTTTTGGAACAAATTTACGATAAATGAATGACTTCTGACGTGGTTTCTTTAATATTTAGTCGATTTGAACTCTCCTGAGATCTGTTATGTTAACTATTTGATTCGATGTTCCACATAAGTAACCGTATTTGATGAAAAATGTTCAATCAATTATGCCTTTTTTTTTTTTTTTATTTGCGGAAATCCCCTCGGATACCACCTGTCAGTGGCATGTCGGACTCGAACCGACTAAAACCGCACGCCGTCTCGGTACTAATAGCCGGGGAACCAGGTATACCCTAGAAAGGAAGTCCCTGGTACCCCGACATACCTCGGGTCATCTACAGACGAGTAGACGACCCCCCGCCGTGTGGGAACCCTATGTTCCCTAATCAATTATGCCTAAGCTTCTGTATATATACTCATATAATTATATACATCATGGAACGAAAATTTTAATGTAAGCATATGCTTAAAAACAGGATAAGAAATATTTCAAAATATAAATTATTTTCTTTTCTTAATTCCGTCGCTATTACAAGAGGAGTCTTTATCAAAACAAATATTTATTTACGAAATAATGTGTAGGGGAACCAATTAGGCAAGTGAATCGTATTGAGAAGTGTATAAGAGTAAATAATATTTTTTTATTAATGATTTGAAAAATTTGATGGATGTTATGACACATGTAACCCTCATTTTTAAAGACTGTCAACAATGGTGCTAATTCTGTTGTGCGAAAACTCTTTAAACTAAACTAAACATCAATTAAAAAAAAATCCTGCCAAATATTACGTTTTCAGAATAGGAAACGTTCTTTGATAGAACTTAACAAATTTTTAGTGATTTTTAGTTTAGTTAAGAGAGTTGTCGAGTTGGACTGTGGACTGTTGGATTGTGTGACTTTTAATCCTGCATCATCTGTATCTTCTCTGCGTTACGTGTAAAGAAAAATACAAAAACAAACGGGTATTTTTGGAAATCTATATCTATTTTATAGACAAATACTTTATTACAGGACGGTGCCATTGATATTAAGTCTCATCTTTGATGTCTATTCAGATAATAAAAAATGAAGTGTAATGTCACCATATTATTATTTAATGAAAGCTTTAGAATGTTTAATTGTTATTTTTATAAAAATGCATTTGTTTAAGCTTTTGTCTTTCAAAATTAATTCACTACGTTAGTTGATGTTTTAAGGAATAATTCAAGCTACTTTTATTTTACAAAAAGAGTTAGGATTCTACGAAAAAAAGTGACAGAGGTTATGTCGGATGCAGCTGGTTTCAACTAAAAGGCAAACACGCGTGATGTTACAATAAACAATTAAAACTACAAGTATCTCACTTAGTTGCTTGTTTCTTAAAAAAATATGTGTTATGTACATCAAATATTGTACCTATTTACATTTCAATGTACTAAACGAACATTAAAAAAATAACATGATAATACAAAACTAATATATTTTTTGTTTAAATAGATCGGGCTCGGGTTGTGTTATGACTATAAACAGCCTTTCAAAGTGGTCCATCATAACGCTTA